AGTTCAAGTTCACCAGCTGCTCCTTGGAAATGCTATTCAGGGTCTCTATAGGTTGGAAATGATTCTACACACTTAACAACAACAACAACCTGTCACCCAAGGGGAGGAAGAGAGAAGAGTAAAGGGGGCCCCTGGGGCATGGTGTCTGGAAGGTGGGAAGGAACTTGGAGCAGTGCAGACCCCTCAGTCAGTCTGAAAGACAATGTGGGAGGGGTGTGTCCCAGACCAGAAAGGAGAAACCACCTTGCACAGGGAGGGGAGGGGCAGAGGGGAGAAGAGGAGGGGCAGAGGGAGGGAAGGGGCAGAGGGGAGAGGAGGGAGGTAGAGGGAGGGAAGGGGAAAGGAAGGGAGTAGAAGGTAAGGGGAGGAGAGTAGAGGGGAGAGGAGGAGGGGTAGAGGGGAGGGGCAAGGCCTGTTTTAAGTGGAATCTTTCTTCTGGAAGCTGCAGTTTCCCAGAGGTGCCTTTCAAACCTGGACTCCTCTTTGCTGATGTCCTCCCCACCCATTCCCAGCCTCCCTTCCTCACTTGTCCTCTTTCTCTGAGGCCTCTCTGTGGTTCTCAGGTGTTGGGTCCTTTTTGGGGCAAGGTCCTGGGCAGGTGAGGTATCCCCTGGTGTCTATCTATGTCCAGTGTCCACCCCAGGTGCCGGTTCCTGAAACCAGTCTGAGGGAAGTGGCTGAGTGGGGCAGAGGAGAGGCTGAGTCAGCTTGTGTGTGGGAGGGTAGAACCTAGCTGATCCTGAGGTGTGCAGGGGGCACTGCGGACCCCCTACCCCTGGCTTACCTGGGAGGAGGCTGATGTTGTGATATGCAGGGGGCATTGGGGACCCCTGTCCCTGGCTCCCTTAACTGGGAGGAGGCTGTCTGGAGCTCCAGGAATGTTCTGTATCTTCTTGGCCTGGGGAGGTGGAGGGTGAGGCGCTTTAGGAGCCAGATTCAAACCATTAGTGGGTGGGTCTGGGGCGTGGCAGACAGGGCCTCAGGAGGAGGAGGAAACTGACTAGAGGAAGACAGAGGATTCCACCTGAGGGTGGGGTAGCAGGTGTGACTGCTTACGGGAGGGAGGGATGAGGAGGATGCCTTGCCTGGGTGGGGGAGTGCTTAGAAGTAAGGGGTGCGGGTCCTCTGAGCCGCTTAGGGTATGGATGAATGGAAAGGCAGAAACCCTTGGGACCCCTAAAGGATTTGGGGTCTTCCCATCAGCCAAGCCCAGGTCCCTAGCTGGGAGCTCACCTCTGGGCTCCTGAGCCCCTCTTCACTTCATCTCACCTGATTCTGACTCTTTTCCTTGGTGGGCAGGGTCGGTGACTTGTAATCCCTTCCTGGGTTCTTGCCTCTACCCAACTCTTTTTTTTTTTTTTAAGTGTTTTATTGTGAATTATGTGATAGTTTACATGGGAGAACATTAGCTTTACATTCATCCTATTGTATATGGTTTCATTGCCAGGGTTACCATCACCCCCATGCATCATCAACCAACCAAAGGGTATACCCTGCAAGCCCGACCCTCAGTTGTCAGCACACAGCCCCTCTTCCTCTCTGGGTCTAGAGTCCCCAGCCACTCCATCTCTCCATGTCATCATCTCTGCTTCCATCTCTGGCATCACTGTTTCTCTGGGTAGGGTCCTGCACTCTGCTCTTCTCCTTTGATGGTCCCAGGGACCTCCGCTCCTGGACTTTAAAGTCCCCTCCTTTTGCACAAAACGTCTACCGTTACATTTCCAACTTTCACAGTCAGTCCTGATAACAAATGAGTGCTCTCCCCATCTCCTTTCATGAGTGGTGCCCAGACAGATTGGATACTACTCAATGGAGATTCCACCTTCCTCTGCACCCTCTGGATCTAGACTCCCTCTTGAAAGCTTGTAAGCCAGTCACTTCTTGCCTTTGTAGCCCTCCCCCCCCCTTTTTAGCCCTCCCCCCCCCCCCATTTTGGGTAGCCAATGTCCAAGTTGCCCATCCCTGTCTACCCTGTGTACCGAGGGGGTGGGAATGATCCTCGCTGTAAAGATTTGTTCCCTCTTTTGAGCTACTGCATCCATAGGTGTAGGTCAAGTTCATCAAACTGTATCTCTACTCAGCTCTTGACCCTAACAATTCAACAAGCACTTCTGGACCATCTGTTGTGCACAAGCCCTGCTCTGGGCTCTGGGTGGAGGGTGGGGTGTGCCCTGCTGTAGGGGGGTGATGATTAATGCTTGGGGGGCTTGTAGAAGCCGAGGTCAGCTGGGCAGACAGAACATAACTTCATGGTCAGCATCTATATGCATCTATTGAAAATCAGCTATATACTGGGCTCCCAGCTCATTCTAATCCTGGACCTTCCATCATCCTAGCAAGGGTGGGTATAGTCTAAGGGACCCTCGCTCCCAGGACCCTGGCACAGTTCAAACTTTTAGCAGGTCCTATCCATGCCGTACCCTGGAGCATGTTTAAGAAGGAGCCTATGGGTGTAGTCAAAGCTGGGGTTGGGATGCAGGACACCATGGGGCCTTTCCTGCTTGCCTCCTTCCCTCCTTCCCATCTATGCTTGGCTCCCAGCAGCCTCTAGGCCTGGGGTAAAGGAGCCGTTGGATAGCTTCCTTTTCCTTTTCCTCCTTGAAGCTGGCCAAGTTGCGGGGGCTGTGGGTCTGATTCTGTCCTTCAGGGCTGCCAGGGGCCTCTCCCTGCTGGGGGTGGAGGACAGGCCTGGGCAGGAGAAGTGATGGCCCAGAGGACCTCCGCACACAACCCCCCCAGTCAGCTTCTGCCAGGCCTTCTGCCCCCACAGAAAGAGTGGGAGCTGCTAGAGGCCCAGGCTGGGGCCCTGCCTCTCCATTTCCTCCCAGTGTTGTGAGGATCTACGAGGGCTGTCCCTGAGCTGTGGAGAAGGAACACCCAGGCTTCTTTAGGATGAGGGTAGGGGGAGGGAGACCCACAGGCTGTAGCCCGATGCCAGGAGCTGAGGGTTGTGGGGTCAAATGTTAGGGGGTGGTTCTCATGGCCTGTCCTGCTCTCCAGGCCCCTGGCTGTGTTCCAAATCCAGTGCTGGGAGGCAGGGCAAACCCTTCTGTGAACCCAGAGTTGAAGGCTGGCTGGGCACCTGGTCTTGCCTGGTGGTGGTTGTGTGTGGCAGGGCAGGAGACCACCACCGGCCTGTGTCGGGGTCCTGGAGGGTGAGGCATGGGAAGAGGTCGTCATTGAAGGTACTTCCATGTGCGGGTGACCAGCTGGTTCAGGGCCGGCCTCTGGCCACTCAGGTACCCCCAGGTTCTATTGATTCCTTCCCACCTGCTTTTCCTAAGACAGGCATCGAAAGGCTTCCTGATGTCCCACCTCAATGAAATCGCCTGCTTTCTATCTTGGCTTTGAATAACCTGAGAACCCAGAGAAGCCTGCAGATGTTACAGGAGGCGCTTTCCTCTTCCTTGTCACTCGCAGAGAGCTTGTTGGGCCCTTCTTGACCCTCTCCAAGGCAGACCACCTCCCAGTGGTTTGAGACCACCCATTTCCAAGCAGGATGTCCTTCCAGCAGGTTAGCTTCCTCCTGGGAGCCCTGGGCCACATGGAAAACCTGGCTCTCTCCCTGTCCCCATGTGTGGGCAAGAGCCTAGGCCACCCACGTGCCTGTGCCCCATGCCAGCTCGCCCTCTCCTGCCTGTCCCATGGGCCTGGCTGCCCCTGAAGCGCCACAATCAGACAGCGGCATAGACGCCAGGGTCCTGGCAGCACCTAAATCATTAGCGCCGTGGAGATTAGGCTGGTAATCTCCTTGTTGGGCGTGAGCAGTTGCCAGCTGTCAGGATGTTAGATGAGGCTGTTCATTCCTCAGGGTGTGGTCTTATGGAGGGGTTCCTGGCCACACAATCATGCTTTCTGTGGTCTTCCCCTGCACCTTCTCTGGGGGCCCCTTGTGGAGGGACTTTCCTCAGGGACTGGGGAAGTGAGCAGGACAGTCACCCCAACCCTCTGCTTCATCTCCTGCCTCTAGTCTCAGACCCAGTTCCTCCAGTATTCACAGAAATGCCCGAGTGTCTTTGATAATATCAGGGGGCCCATGTTTCCAGAGGCTGACTGATGGCATCTTAGGGGGACATATTACAGAGGAGGAAGCAGAGACTGGTCCTCTCAGGTCAGGGCCTCCAGATGTGGGCAAGCCCAAGGTCAGGGGCTGTCTCCCCCCACTTTGTTGTTGGTAAGTGCCGGCCAGTTGATTCCAACCCACAGTGACCCTGTATAGGGTTTCCGAGAAGCAGCTGGTGAGCTTGAACCGACTTTGCAGTCCAGCGCGTTGACCCACAGTGCCACATCAGGACGTGAACAATCCCAGGAGAGAGTTTTATTTACCTCTTCAGACTGGGTGTCCCCTCAGGTCAAGAACTCTGTTTTAATCTTCTGAGGAAGATGTTAAATCTGCCCCCTCAGATGGGGGCTTCCTCAGGTCAGATGCTAATTCTCTGCCACCATACTGAGGAACCCCTCAGGTGAGATGTGAAATCTGCCCCCTCAGATGGGGGCTCCCTCAGGGCCACACTGTACCTGGGGAAGGTGTTGGCCTGACTCTCTCCACCCTCTACCTGGGGCCCAGGAATGCTGGGTGGGGGCCAGACAAACCTTCAGGCTCTAGGCCTGTGGAGCCTTGTTCCATGCCCTTCCTGGCTCCCCAGGCTGGGTTCTCCGGACTCCCCCCCAAGAATGAGCTCAGCGGCCTAATTGGGGTTGAGGATGGAGGATCACCCTACCCTGGGGCTGCAGCTCCCAACACCACCTTTGTTTCTGAGCAGACAATGGGCCCCTAAGTGTCCACCATGCCCAGGCCAGGCTCAGCACGGGAGGGGGTCTGAGGGTGCACTCAGCATGTTCAACCCGAGCCCCAGGCCCTGTGCGGCTGGTTCAAAGGCAAATTACACGGCTGGGGTTTTGGCTCTGACTTCAAGGGTCAGGGACCCAGCCCCTTTGTGACTATAAAGTCTACCGGGGTCTCTGTCCAGACCAGACCCTGCATCTGACCCTCAAAGACCATGGCCGCCACCACCACCAGCATCCGCCAGTTCTCCACCTCGGGCTCTGTGAAGGGCCTGTGTGTGCCTGGTGGGGGATTCTCCCGGGGGTCCTCGGTCCGTGTTGGGGGTGCCTGCCGGGCCCCCAGCCTCCTAGGAGCTGGCAGCTGTGGCAACATGTCGGTCACCTCGTCCCGTTTCTCAGCGGGTATGGGGGGCGGCTACAGCAGCGGCTACACCTGCAACCTGGGAGGGGGCTTCGGATCTAGCTTTGGCATGTCGGACACCCTGCTGGGGGGCGGTGAGAAGGAGACCATGCAGAACCTCAACGACCGCCTGGCCTCCTACCTGGAGAAGGTGCGTGCCCTGGAGGAGGCCAATGCCGACCTGGAGGTGAAGATCCGAGACTGGTACAAGAAACAAGGACCTGGGCCGGCCCGTGACTATAGCCACTACTTCAAGATCATCGAAGACCTGCGGAGTAAGGTGGGAACACCCTGCCCTCTGCCAGTCCTACCTGCTTTGGATTCCCTCCACTTTGTACCAATCCTAGGCCTCAGTCATTAATTCATTAATTCATCAGTTCATTCACTCAAGTGCCAGTCCTGGGTCCCAGGCCTGGAGGACTTCTGTGCAGGGAGGAAGGAGGAAGACCTTTTCCTTTCTGTGTGTGTTGGGGACATGTTTGGAGGTGGGAAATGGAGGAGTCGGTGAGGAAGGCTTCACCTTAAGGCTCTCTGGGTGTGGAGGAGAGCTTGGGAAAGACAGAGAGGTGGGGAGGAGTGGGAGATGAGCCGGGAACATCTGTTTCCTGCTGTTCTATGCCTCTGTGAGTCTGCCCTCTTGCCTGTCTCACCTCTTGCAAGCATTCTTCCTTCAGCACGTGGAGATGCAGCAATGCCCTGTTCATTGTATGGTTTCACTGAGTCTGGCCTCCCCATCCCTCTATGATGGTCACTGAACTCCAGAGGGATGGAGCTATGACCCTCCTTGCAGATTGTTCCTCTGTTTCTCTGTACACAGACTAGAAGCTCCGGTGGGGTGGGGAGGGGAAGGTGTTTCTTGAACACCCACTCACCCACTCATGACCTCCAAGAATACAGCTTTGGCATTTGTGAATGCGGACAACTGGGTCTTTTGCACACCTGCCCTGGGGGAGTGCTAGAGCACTCTACCTCCCCCCTCTGGTGAGTGAGGAGTTAAAGAGACCAATAAAACCAGGATGAGGGGAGCTGGGCTGAGGCCAGGGTGTCTATCTAGCCCTGCCCGGGTTTCTGGGTGGAGAACCAGGCCTGGCTGCTCCTGTCCAAGACCTCCACAGTCAGGGAATTCCTACAATTTCCCCTGGAAGTGGATCCACAGGGAGTGCCAGATCAGATATGGGACGTGCTTGGGGGAACCCAGGAGAGCCCTGGTGAGTCAGTGCTCCCGAGCTCTGGGGTCAGCCAGCATCTCCCCACCAACCCCCGCCCCTCTGAGTCACACTCACCTGCTCCCCTCACCCCCGCCCCTGGGGTTTGACAGAGGCCCCTCACTGAGCCATGGCAGGGAGGAGGGCAGTGTCTCTGCAGCTTACTGTAGAAGGGTCCACGGAGGCCCAGTCTGCAGACAGGGAGCTGGGCCTGAGCCAGGGTCCTTCACAGATTTCAGGGCTTCGAGGGGGTTCTGGGAGGTCTAGTGAAGCTGTCTGTGTCGTCTTTTTGTCTCCTGTGTGCCAGCTCTCAGCCCTCAAAAAATTCCCACTTCTACTTAGCTCATTGTTACCTTCACCAAGTGAAAATTTCTGCTCCCTTCCGCTCTCCTCCCCACCTCCACCGCCCTTGGACCCTCGAACAATAACAATGATGGCAGAATAATAATAACCAGCCCTTTGCTCCCTTTAAAGCCTATGCCTTCCAAGTTTTTAGTTAAACCTCCTGGCTGACCCTATGGGGAAAGAAAACGATCTTAGGCTTGAGGGAGCCAGTCACAACTTCATTAATTAATCCATTAATTACTTCATTAATTAGATGCCTCCCAGGGTCTGACTTCCAGGACTGGGGATTCTGAAGAGAATGAGGCAGAGCTCAGAGTCCAGTTGGCAAGAGACAACCCCCAAGTCATGGAGCTAGGTGTAGAGTTGCTTCTGGGAAAAGGACTAGGGAAGAGAGATGGCAGAGAGATGAGAGGAGGGACTGGGATGGAACAGGGCATCAAGGAGGGCTTCCTGGAGGAGGTGGCAACTGAGCTGAGAGGTGAACTTAGTTGGGGAAGAAGAAGTGAGGTCCAGGCAGCTTGGGTAGTAGCCCCATGGCAGGTGGGAGAGGGCAGCATGGTTACTCGTGGGTGCCCCACCCTGTGAGCCCTCCCAGGGCCTTGGCTGGATCCCTAAAATTTCCAGCAGGATTATCAGAGGAGGGAGGAGTCCTGGTGGTGACACAAACGGTTAAGTGCCCAGCTCATAGCTGAAAGGTTGGTGGCTCACAGGGACCCTCCAGGACACAGTAGAATTGTCCCATAGGTATCCAAGGCTGTAAATCTATATGGAAGCAGATCACCACAAATGGATGACTCCAGGGTTAGCTTTAACCAAGTGCTTTAACCACTGTGACACCATGCCCCTTCTAGGTATGAGGCTAGAAAGCTCTATGGGACAGTTCTACACCATCACATGGGGTCGATTTGAGCGAGAACGGACCCAACAGCATTTAACAACAACACCTAACAACAACCAAAGATGGAGACCATAGGAGATCCACTAATCTTGCTCTGGATTCCTCCCCAAAGGGGTCTGCTCTTGGGGCTGCCAAGGTTTGCTCATAGCTCCTCCCACCTCCTCCAGATCCTGGCAGCCACCATCGACAATGCCAGCTTCGTGCTGCAGATCGACAATGCCCGCCTGGCAGCTGATGACTTCCGCACCAAGTGAGTCTGGGCTGCCCTGGAATCTGGTGGTGGGCACCAGCTCTGTCCCACCGAAGGGAGTGGCATTTGCATGGGGGGGGGTGTCCATGTGGCAGGCCGGGGGTCATACTTCTGTCCCTTCTAGGTACGAGACGGAGCTGAACCTGCGAATGAGCGTGGAGGCCGACATCAACGGTCTGCGCAGGGTGCTGGACGAGCTGACCCTGGCCAGAGCTGACCTAGAAATGCAGATCGAGAATCTCAAGGAGGAGCTGGCCTACCTGAAGAAGAACCATGAGGAGGTGAGGCCAGCCCAGGAGGACTGAGAAACCTGTCTGGGAGCAATGCAAGGGATTCCAGAATCTTCTGGGACCTAACCATGCTCTTAGTCCAGTTTCTATCTCTGGTGGGTTCCTGGCCTGATCCTAGGAAATGCTCAGAGGGCCCTGGATCAGGCCTAGTGGGGTCTGTCCCCCTAAAATACTTCTCTTGTCCCTCTAGGATCTGCCCACTGAGTGGTGGCAGTTAACTATCTAATGAGCAAACCAGTCTAAGAACACATAATGCTAATTATTATAATTAATTGTAGTGATAGTTATAACGACAATGAACATCTGCCCAGTTTGTATACAAATGATTCACAGCAATTATCTTAGCCGATACCTACGTTGCTGGTACACTTCTTTTTACTGGTGGATAGACTGAGGCTGGAGTCCTAGTGTGGTGTTATCAGATAAACACTGGACTGCTAACCAAAAGTTGGTGGTCCAAACCCATCAGCTGCTCCTCAGAAACCCTGTACAGGATTGCTGTGAGTCAGAACGGACTTGATAGCACTTAACAGCAAACTGAGGCTGGGAGAGGCTACATGAGATATTCACGGTCACTGGGACCTACACCCAGATCTGACCTATAACCACATCCAGGTCCAATCCCACCCCTCTGCCACCTCTCCTGCTTCCCTTCTCAGAGAGCTCTGGGTCTCAGGTACCCTAACCCAAGGAGGGGGATTCAAGTACTTGCTGGAGGGTCAGTGAGGCCTTCTGTTCTGTCCTGGTGGCTCCTTCTTAGCTGACTCTGGACTGACCTTAGACCCAAGTAGTAGGACATCCAGAAAGTATTGCTACTTAGCTTTGAGGCTACTTTGCTTTGCGTTTCTACGGATTTCAGCTGCCCACAACGGCCGGGACTGTCACCTTCCTGATAGGCGTGGTTCAGCTATTGCTGATGTGCTCATGCTGTGTGTCTGGTGGTCGGGAACCAGGCAGGTGGGCTGGGAGGTGAGGGAAGCTGTTTCCTTGATGGGTGAGCTGTCGTCTCTCACTCCTGATCACTGGGGACGGGTGAAGATTGGGGATGTCCATAACCTCTGTGCGTTTGAGACATGATGGCATCTGCCTCCATCTTCAGGGTGAGGAGCTGCTGGCCTATTGTATCTGTCTGTCTGTCTGTCATCAAACCTGTCTCCTAGGGGTAAAGAAGGCAGGTCCCAGGCCTCTCCCCAGAATGGCCCTGGGTCAGCTCTTGCTCTCCTCTGCCCAGGAAATGAATGCCCTTCGTGGTCAAGTGGGTGGGGATGTCAGCGTGGAGATGGACGCAGCCCCTGGTGTGGACCTGAGCCGAATCCTGAATGAGATGCGTGAACAGTATGAGAAGATGGCAGAGAAGAACCGCAAAGATGCTGAGGACTGGTTCTTCAGTAAGGTGGGTGGCCTTGAGCGAGCAGGTGTGCACATGTGTGCATATGGGTGCGGACTGGAACCGTGTCCCAGCTGGAAGGACCTTTGGAAACCAGTTAGACTAAGCCCTCATGTTTTAAATGCAAAACGTGAGACACAGGGAGGCCGGGAGCTCACACAGCCTTCACCGTGGCGTGGGAAATGGGCCCCGGTCTCTGAGCCCTGTGGTCCAGGGCTTCTCCATGGTAGGCGTTCGCAGGTACATGTAACCACAACATAGCCTTTAGCTTGTCCCAGGGACAGCCACAGGCATGAAAAGAAAGAAAACTCTTGTCTTAGAGGTACTTGTAGCTCAATAGGAGTAATGGATGCAGGTAACTGCAGGGCAGGGGGCATTCCATGAAACCTGGGTATGTGTCTCTGGGGTCCCACAGAGACTCAGTGGAGACTCCTGTCCTTCGAGCCCTCTCTTCATACCCTCCTGGCTTTGCAGACAGAGGAGCTGAACCGCGAAGTGGCCACCAACACCGAGGCCCTGCAGAGCAGCCGGACAGAGATCACGGAGCTGCGTCGTACGGTGCAGAATCTAGAGATTGAGTTGCAGTCCCAGCTCAGCATGGTAAGGCCTCCACCACTCCCCACCCTGCACCTTGCACCCCAGGCCCCCACTAGGAGAGCCAGAGACCTCCCTGACATTCCATCCCATCATTCATGGACACAGGCCCCTCTCTGCCCCCATCACCGCCCTCTGGTGCTCCATGGTGAGGAAGGGTCTCATCAAGCCCACCTATTAACTTGGCCCACAGAAAGCGTCGCTGGAGGGCAGCCTGGCAGAGACAGAGGCGCGCTACGGGGCCCAGTTGGCCCAACTGCAGGGGCTCATCAGCAGCATCGAGCAGCAGCTTTGTGAGCTGCGCTGTGACATGGAACGTCAGAACCACGAGTACCAGGTGCTGCTGGACGTGAAGACCCGCTTGGAGCAGGAGATCGCCACCTACCGCCGCCTGCTGGAGGGCGAGGATGCCCAGTGAGTGGGCCCTTGCTGGGGTGGGCTGTGGGCAGCCACTTCACCTACAGAGGGACTTTTGAGCTGAGGGAACAGCCCTAGGCAAGACTCAGAGTTGGAATGTACTTAGAGGGTGGGGGTGGCGCCAAACCTGTCATAACTGTGGGGGTTTTTCAGGAGCTGAAACTGAGACTACTGACTGAAACCTGATTCAAGGAGCCTGGAATGCTAAACCAAAACATCTAGGCTAGATTGTGTGGGCAATAGGGAGCCATGGAGGGCTTTTGAGCAGAAGAGGAGTATGGTCGTAATGATATTTTAGAATGCTCACTTTGACTAGTAAGGGAGAAATGGGCGTCAGCTTGGGGTCAGGGAGACTTGTCAGAAGATGCTGCATGCAGAAGGTATGTTATAGCCAGAAACTGCAGGATCAGATGCCTGGACATGGGGGCAAGTGACTCCCAGTCAGGACTCAATAAATGCTGAGTGAGCCCACAAAGGACAGCCAGCGGGGTTTCTGGTTGGGATGACTATGTGGTCATTAACTGGGAGGAGCTAAATGAAGAGCAGGCTGAGGGACCATCTGGGAGATGGGAAGTTTGATCAGGGCCCTGGTGGGAAGGACTGAGAATGTCCTGGAGACTCTATGCTTAGTCACACAACCCAGCATTCTGCTCCCTAAGGAACAAGTCTTTATACAGTCTAACCACAGTCTCTCCTGCTTTAATTGAGTCTATTTGTCGGGACCTTCAGGATATGGAAAACCGCCGCTTGCTCAGCTTCTTGTAAATCTCTGGTTAACAGCTATTAAGTGCCTTTGGGCCTTTTCTTGGCATGTGCCCTCTGACCTTCTGGGTCCCATCCCCCCCCCCCCCACTCTCTTCTATGGCTCCTCTCCCATTGGTAGGGATTTCTCCCCTCACACAGCGGGCCTCCCAGCTGTCCCCCCCTACCCAGGTTTTCCCAGTTGGGTTCTTTGGCCTGATGAACCCCCTCTCCCTGCAGCCTGGCCACCCAGTATTCCTCGTCCCTGACCTCGCAGCCCACCAGGGAAGGTAAGAGCCCCACAGTGACCTGCCCAGACTAGAAGTAGTAGGCAGAGGCTGAGCACTCCCTATGGGGGAGGCCTGGGGAGGTGGTGCAGGTGGGGCGGCAGGGAGGGAGTGAGGACTCTGGCCTGAGGTTACCCGTGATCCCCCCCCTTGACACTCCCCTAGCCACAGTGACCAGCCGCCAGGTGCGCACCATCATGGAGGAGATCCAGGACGGCAAGGTGGTCACCTCCCGCGAGCAGGTGCACCGCACCACCCACTGAGTCCCTTTCCCGGTGCGCAACAGCCCAGCTGGAGGGGCCAGGAGCAGCCCAGGCCCCCAGCTCCCTACATGCTACACCCCAAGTGCCCCTAAGTGGGTGCCCTGCTCAACCTGCTTTCTGCAATCCCTCATGGAGGGGACCTCTGGGCTCACCCAGTGGCTGCTATTAAAGCTTTGCTGACATTCGATGCCTCTGCCTCGTGTGGTCTCTTTGGCTTGGGGTGGTGGGGATGAGGGAGACAGGGTGTGGAGGAGGAGAGTTTGCTGAGCTTTTGGGTATCACCTTATTCCATGCTCACTTGCTCTGTCTTCTCCTGGGAAGACAAGAGGGAAGGAGGCGGGAACATTGAAGGTGCCTGGCTGGGAAAATTTCTAACATTCAGTCCCTGCTTCCTGTTGCCTGAGACTGGCCCTTGGGAAGGTCCCTTAGTCTCTGGGGACCACGCCTGTTATACAGTATCAGCCCTGCACTGGTCAGGGCTTGAGAGCAGAGGGAGAGGAGCTGGGTTGAGGGCTTTCCCAGGGAGTGGTCAGGGGCATTGATGGATAAGAGGAGGTGGCACAGAGCAGCCGCCAGGGCAACCAGACCGGCTCTGCCCGGCTCGACTCGGGGGTGTGAGTGGGGTGGGGTGGCCGCTTTTTCGTGTAAGCGTGGGGGGCGTCCTGTTTGCTTTGGTGGCTTGGCAGCTGCTAGGTTATTGGAGAATCTCTCATATGTTGGTGGAGGCTGTCTGGGCCTGTCTGGGATGTGGAAGCCATCGGCAACCTGAGACACGACCACATTCCGCCCACAGGGTCCAGTGTGAGGTGGTGGGCAGGGCAGGGTGGAGTCCTGGGATGGGGCAGAACCCACTCTAAGAAGCCACATCTGGGGGCTGATGGGGTCTCTGTGGGAGGCTGGGGTCTCAGCTCAGGCAAGGCCCTTTAGATTTCCAGTATATACCCCTCACCTCACCCTGGGGTCTCTTGGGAGGGGGCATATAGAAGTGGGTAGTGCCCTTTACAGTTCTTCCAGTTTCCCCTCTCTACTGCCCACCAGTTCCCCATTCTACAACTAAGTGCCTCCTTGCCCACCCAGCCCAGGAGCCCTCAATTATGAATGGGGAGGGGAAGTCTACAAAGGTCCTAGGGGTGGACACAGGACAGAACCCTGCCCAGAGGGAATCTTAGTGCCGAAGTGGGTCTCTGGGTGGAGGGCAGGGTTTTGCATTGGGAGACAGGCAGCCTGGTTCCTCAAGGTGAGCTGGGACATGGCGGGAGGAAGGCTATAGACAGTTCTGGAACTAGGTCTCCATATCTGTCAGATGGAATGGCAGTGTTCTAAGGTCTGACAGGGTTAATGTGTGGAGTGGTGGACCGGTTGGGCTGGGCCTCATTTCTTCAGGACAGACTGGGTCTAAGCCCTCTGTGTCTCCTCAACACCTCACCCAGGGCCAGTATCATGTGGCAGGGCATGCGGTGGAGGTCAACCTCAGACTGGGGGCTGCCCAACCAGTATTCCCAGCAGTCACTGGGTCCTGGCTGGCTGGGCTGAGGTGACACTGCCTGGGAGGGCCTGGTGGTGGTGACGTCCTGCCTTTTCCTCTTCTCCGTATTAGGTCATAGGAAAGCGTAGCCTGAGGGCTGCCTGAGTCACAAGTGACGGCCTGAGAGGCCTGGGACCCAAGACACGCACGAGGGTTTCCGGAGAAATGAGGCAAAGCTCCATGGTGGGGGGCGGGGGGGCAGAGCCACCTGGGAGCTGGCGGGTGGCCAGCGGTGATGAAAGCCGAGGGGAATGGAAACAGAGGATGGAGCTGCTGTAATGTTGTAATCGCTACGCCCACTTGTCGGTCTATAAAGGTGGCGGGCGAGCCCCAGCAGCAGCACGCACCTTGGGGCCTCTCTCATCCTCTAGAGCAAACAGTCTTCCCGCCGGTTGCCACCATGACCACCACTATCCGCCAGTTCACTTCCTCCAGCTCCATCAAGGGCTCCTCGGGCCTGGGGGGTGGCTCCCGCACCTCCTGCCGGCTGTCTGGCAGCCTAGGTGGGGGCTCCTGCCGGCTGGGGTCGGCCAGCAGCCTGGGCAGTGCCCTCGGGGGCAGCAGCAGCTTTTCCGGCTGCTACAGCTTTGGTGCTGGCGGTGGCTATGGCAGCAGCTTTGGGAGTGTCGATGGGCTGGTGGCTGGAGGAGAGAAGGCCACCATGCAGAACCTCAATGACCGCCTGGCCTCCTACCTGGACAAAGTGCGTGCTTTGGAAGAGGCCAATGGTGAGCTGGAGGTGAAGATCCGAGACTGGTACCAGAAGCAGGCTCCAGGGCCTGCCCGTGATTACACTCACTACTACCAGACCATTGAGGACCTGAAGAACAAGGTGGGACCTGCTGTGGGGAGGGGCCCACGGGGTCTGGGGTCTTCCCTGATCTTAGGGCAACAGACAGAGTCAGGGCTAGGCAGGTCTCTGGAGCCCCTTTGAGCCTCAGTTTCCTCTACCCAGAGCGTCTTTAGGATAAGATAAGAGGATGCATGTGCAGGGCTGGGCTGGTGGGTAGCTGGATACCTGCTACCTCCCCTGAAGCAGGGGTCAGCAGGAGGGTGATTTGGGAGGTAGAGTGGCCAGGTGAGCTCCTGATAGCCTGCTGGAAGGAGGGGTGAGACCTCAGGGTGGGGAAGACTTCCATGGGCCTTATTTGGGGATGTTTCAGGCTTCCCAATCCTTCCTGTTGTCCCCTCAACACTGGGGCTCAGCAAAATGTCCTGTCCAGGCGACCCCCAGGGCTAGGGCTTAACGGGGGTCATGTCTTCTGATTAGGAGCCACTGCTTGGTGAAGCCTTCTTTAGCCTCCCTTTTAGGGGGCCTCTCAGGGTCACCATCCCTCCCAGACTGTAAAATGAGGGTTTCCCCCACATCAGGAGTCCTAAAACAGCTTCTACCTCAAGGATGTTCTAGAATTCTCTAGCTTTCCTGGCATTGCGCAGTCAGCACCCGCCTCTTCTTTAAAGCAGAGTCTGGCATGGGGGTCTTTGAAGGGGAGGCAAGTTTCAGCTCATCCCACTCCTGCTCAGACCCTGCCTCTGCTCACAATTAGAGCTCAGCGAAGGGGAAAGGTGGGTGGGGCAAGGGGAGGGTTCTCAGAGGAAGCCGCCAAATCCTGGCCCCCAGACAGGAAAACTCCGCCTCCTGATCCTGGCCTGGCTGAGCCTCCCAACCCTCCTGACCTGAGGACTCTCCCATCTCCCAGATCCTCACAGCCACTGTGGACAATGCCAATATCCTGCTGCAGATTGATAATGCCCGTCTGGCCGCGGATGACTTCCGCACCAAGTGAGTTCTGACGCCAGCCTTGGCCAACCCAGGAACGCTGGGAGAGGGGCTCAGGGCTTCTCTGTTGCCTTTTCCTTTGCAGTGTGTGACCAGTCCAGGTGCTGGGGTGGGGAAGTTTTGGGAGTTGCTAAGAGCCCACCCCTAGTCTAGGAAGCAGCAGGTGGTCTCGTTAAGCCTGGGGTCTCTGGGCTCAGAGGTGATGTGAAAGATGGAAGGAAGGCAGAGAAGAGAGTAAGGAGGTGGGTGGGCATGGGGTCTTGCCTTGGGATGGTATCAGAGCTGGAATTTCTTTCCACTCTTCTCCATTCCATTCCCCAGAATCCCTTAGACCAGGTGCAGCTTTCCCAATAAGTATGCAAGCATGTACTTACAGTTTCACATCTTTATTCAGCACAGATTAATTAGTAAGATAGCACAAGTAAGTTCATGCATATTACCTTGCATCCCTGTCAGGGATTGTAAATTTGAAAAGAGGCTTTAATGCCGTATGAAGGTGTTGTGGGGTTGAGAGAGAGATAGATGCCAACCACCCCTAGAAGTAGAATCTTTAGTGTCATGATAAACTATGAAAGGATTCCCTGTGGATTAGTAAGCCTAGCTTACCGGGTATTCTGACACTGCCTTAGACCCCTGTGGCATGAAAGGCAGGGTGAGGAGGTGGGTCCTGCTAGGAGCCTGGATTGATGACTCTGTTCTGTTGCAGGTTTGAGACGGAGCAGGCGCTGCGAATGAGTGTGGAGGCCGACATCAATGGCCTGCGCAGGGTGCTGGACGAGCTGACCCTGGCCAGAGCTGACCTGGAGATGCAGATTGAGAATCTCAAGGAGGAGCTGGCCTACCTTCGGAAGAACCACGAGGAGGTGAGGGTGGGGAAGCAGTCCAGAGAGGCTGTGGGATGGATTGTGAGGAACTGGGGCTGGGCCAAGGCTGAGGTCGTGGGAAGAGCCAGGGCTCATCACCTTATAGGGCTGCACTGGTGTTAGGGCAGGGCCAGAGCCAGCTTTCTGGACAGCTCTGTCCACACTGCTTCTCTGCATCCGGAGAATCTTCTAGGGGTCCACAGAGACCTCCGTAACGAGGAAGAGGGGTAGGCAGTGAGGTATCCTCATTGTTCTAGTTCAGACCCTAGATTCTGAGCCCTAATCAGAAGTTAGGAAATTAGACAGTAAATCCTGGGGCATAGCTCTAAGAGCTAATTGTATCTTATGAGAGCCCTCAGGCTCACGGGGCAGACATAATTCTTGTTCTCAGGGAACCCCAATCCGATGGTGGTAACATGGTCCGTACAGAGCAGGTGAACAAAAATCCTTACAAGAGTCAGAGGGTAGAGCATACTGAGAGCAAAAGAGGATCAGAATTGGTGCCACTGCCTCGTTTCTGTGAGAAAATTCCAGAAGTCTTGCCTGGGAAAGGGATCAAGACAGGCCAGGGATCCATACCCAGAACCCCCTTCTTCCACAGGAGATGAACTCCCTGCGAGGCCAGGTGGGTGGCGAGATCAGTGTGGAGATGGATGCAGCCCCTGGCGTGGACCTGAGTCGAATCCTGTCAGAGATGCGTGACCAGTATGAGAAGATGGCAGAGAAGAACCGCAAAGATGCTGAGGACTGGTTCTTCAGCAAGGTGGGTGGCCTCTCCCAGGGGTGCAGGGGCTTGAGCCCCAACAGTAAGCCCACCTGACATCTTGGGGGAGTCCCCTCAGTGAACTGCAGGGACCCTAGAGGATCAGGGCCATCCATTGCATCAACAGGCCTGGAGACTTGGAGGATGGATGAGGAGTCTGAGATAAAGGCAGAGGGCCAAGTCCTCTAGAGTTTTGACTTCTCCCTTAAGAAATCAGGAATTAATATTAGGGACCAGGTTACAAACAGTGACTGGGTCTCAAGTTCCCTATTCCTGTTCCTGCCACTGGTAGGGATTAATGATAAAAAATGTAACATTTCAAAGGAAATGTTCCTGGGCTTTGGGAAGTGGGAAGCTAATGAGAAGTTATTACCTAAACAACCAGGTTTGGGAGGAAACTCAATATGCCTGAGGGATGGCTAGAGGTCAAGAAGGTGGCCAGGGCAGGACCATCACCTGGGAAGGACTGGAAATTCCCGACTGGACCAAGATGGGTTTGTGGTTTGAGCATATGGAGGCCGTGGGGGTCTTCTGACTTGGGGAAGGGATCTTGGCTAAAATGCCTGTCCTTGTCCTGTCTGCAGACAGAAGAGCTGAACCGTGAGGTGGCCACCAACAGCGAGCTGGTGCAGAGCGGCAAGAGCGAGATCTCTGAGCTCCGGCGCACCATGCAGGCCTTGGAGATTGAGCTGCAGTCTCAGCTCAGCATGGTATAGGAGCACTGTTCAGCATGGGAGGGTCCTGGCCTCAGGATAGGGGCCTTGACCACCCTTGCTGACACCTGCTTCTCCCACCCTCCTGCAGAAAGCATCCCTGGAGGGCAGCCTGGCGGAGACAGAGAACCGCTACTGCGTGCAGCTGTCTCAGATCCAGGGGCTGATTAGCAGCAGGGAGGAACAGCTGGCTCAGCTGCGCTGTGAGATGGAGCAGCAGAGCCAGGAGTACAAGATCCTGCTGGACGTGAAGACCCGCCTTGAGCAGGAGATCGCCACCTACCGCCGCCTGCTGGAGGGCGAGGACGCCCAGTGAGTGGGGACCAAGGTTGAGGGTCTTCAGGCTGGGTGTGGTGGTCTCAGATCCACATCTAATCGCCTTTCTCTCTCTCTTTTTTTTGCAGCTTGACACACTACAAGCCCAAAGAACGTAAGGACTGTGGGGGCTAAGGACAGAGGGTGCACAGGGCGGGCAACGCATCTGCACTTTGCTGGGGGAGGATCCTTGCCTGGGGTGGTCCAGGAGCTCCAGACAGTGATGGTTGTGCATTCTGGGGTGGAAGGGGAAGCATTAGAGTTGATGCTCAGGGGAGGGATCAAATGAGGCGTTGCTATCTGCTCTGGGAATAGGGCAGAGTGATGGTTCTTGCATTGGAGTCCCTAGTCTGATGAAGAAGATGTGTTCCTAGCCTCTCATCTGATGAAGGACAAGGAGATGACCTCATAGTCTTGAGATTGGGAAAGATGGGCAAATCAGACTTGTCCCTAGGGATGCTGTCTGATGGGAGACAGGGACATGGCCCTTGTCTTACAGATCCCATTCTGATTTGTTGTTGTTGTGTTGTGCCGTGGAGTCAGTTCCGACACATAGCGCCCCTGTACAGGGTTTCTGAGGCTGTAAATCTTTATGGGAGCAGAAAGCCTTATCTTTCTCCCATGGAACAGCTGGTAGTTTTGAACTGCTGACCTTGCGGTTCACAGCCCGATTCGTAACTACTACGCTGATAGGGGAGATATAATCCTAGCCCTGGGTATCTTGTCTAATGGGGGTGACCTGGTTTTCATCTGAGGTGGGACACAGAAACATAGCCCATGCCCTGGATATTGCAGAGACATGGAGACTGTCCTCAGTTTGAGTGGCTTCCAGTCTACAGAGCCCCTCTGTTACAGGAGAACACAGGGTCAGAATCAAAGTACCTCCTGGGGGAGGCAGGACGCACACAGGGACCCTAAGCAGAGAAAGGGAGGCAGGCGGTGGCAAAGGCAGTGGTGTGATGTTGAGGTCCAGCAGAGGCATTCATACCAACCTGCTGGGAGGGGACTTGGGGAGAGAGGTGGCTCTGCTCAGGGAGCCTGGGTGCTGACCCTGCTCATCCTGGAGTGACTGTCTCTCCCGCAGCTGTGACCACACGCCAGGTGCGCACCATTGTGGAGGAGGTCCAGGACGGTAAGGTCATCTCCTCCCGAGAGCAGGTCCACCAGACCACCCGCTGAGGAGTTGGCTTTCCCAGCCAGCCCCCCCTCCACCCTGCAGTCTCCAGCCTCCTTGGACTCCGCCCGCCTGCTTCAGCCCCTTTCCCACATGTCTCTGCTGGATTCCCAATAAAGCTTGTTGACTGAAATGTGGAATGCAGTTTTGTCATGGCCATTGTGTGTGTGTGTGGCCCTAGTGAGAAATGGGTGGTCTGGGAGGGGATGGGGGTGGAGTCTTTGGACACTCACTAGTGACTTGGAGGTCCAGGGTCATCACCAGAGTGAAGAGTGATCTGGGAGAACTGGGTGGAGGGTGCTTTATATCTCCCAATGATTGGTGATCAGAGGGAGTGGGTCCAGGCAGTGCCAGGAGCTGGGAAAACAAGGGTGGTCTTAGGTAGTTCCCCCCTTTAGGCCAGTAACTAGTTCCCTGTCCTCAGGCTGTTCTTCCCCAGTGGGGTCTCCATAAATAGATCACAGGATCTCAGGTTCAGAAGGCGGAGTCACAGAAAGAACACCTCCAAACTTACTGCTTCTCCAGGACCTCTGAGCAGTGCCTTCCCCCAGAGAGGCAAGGGGTGGGCTGGGTAGGGGAGATGGGGCAAGACAAGCTGGGCCTGAATGTTTAGGGTTGAGGGTGCCCTAGAGTCTCAGGAAGTCTCCCAAAGGGACTGTGGACCCCCAGGGTACACTGACTGCCTTCCCCTGCCCCCCAGGAATGTGAGCAGAAGGCTAATGCTTCCAGAGAAGGCTGTAGACCTGGGTCAGGAGTTGGGAGAAATGGCGCCTTTCCCAGGAATGTTTCTCCAAACGGTCAGGGCAGCTTGGATGGGGGTGAGGCAGGGAGCAGAGGGAGAGGTTGTGCCAGGGGACAGACTCCTGGTGGGCCCCCCTAGGTTCCAGCAGCCTGGGAGTGGGAAGATGGGAAACTGTCTCTGGGGATACTATCTGAGCCCCACTCCTTTCCATCCTGATGCCAGGGAGGGGTGTGTGTGGGGATGGCTCTTATGCAAGGCTGGGAGGAGCTCTGACAATGGGAAGTCTTCCTTCGAGTAAATCCGGAAGCTCGTGGGCGGTCTGGGCCTGCTTTCTTGGTTTTCTTCTAGGAGGTGGTTGGTGAGAGGAGGGGTGCCCCCACCCCAATTCACTGACAGGCTTGGGCATGTCTCTGCTACTGTGGAACTAGACCAGGCCTTCTATGTACCCTTCTCTTCTGGTGCCTGGAGGCTGGGGGCTGCAGGGGGCTGGGCTTCACTGAGCTTGCCCACTCAGACATGAAGTGCATCTCTGCCCTGGTTACATTTGGGAGAGGATGGGGGCACAGAGTCCTTGGAGGTCAAGGGTCATCTCAGACCAGGGTAAAGAGTAAGTGTGGGGGAGCTGGAAGGAGCCTTGGTGGCACAGTGGTAAAGCGCTGCTAGCTGAAAGGTCAGTGGTTTGAACCCACCAGTTGCTTCATGGGAGAAACATGTGAGAATATGCTTCCATAAAGGTTGTTACTAATTGCTATAGAGTCACAGTGACTGTGGACAGGGTTTCCGAGACTTTTAATCTTATAGTGCGTGGTGGGCTCAAACTGCCAACTTGTGGTGTGAAGTCCAGTGCTTATCACCACATGGAGCCACTGCCCTCCCTCCGTTTCCGTAAGATTCTTGTTGTTAAGTCAGTTCTGACTCAAAGCGACGCTGTGGAGCGGCTGGTGAGGTTGAACCACTGACCTTGCATTCGAAATCCACCAGGACTCCCATAAAGTTATGCCGTTGAGTTGGTTCTTGTACAGGGTTTCCAAGGAGCAGCTGGTGAGCTTGTACTGCTGACCTTGTAGTCCAGTGCATTAACCCACAGAGCCACACACAGCCTTGGAAACCCTCTGGTGTAGTTGGCCTCTGTCCTAATAAGGTGGCTGTCAGTTGAAATCAACTTGACAGCAATTGGTTTTTGGGTTTGGGGAGAGCTTAGAGGGGTTTTGCATCTGTGGAGGTCTACCTTCTCTCCTGATTCCTAGAGCCTGGGAGGGGGCACTATGGGCTAACGCCTCCGGAGCCTGGTGCTGGTGGTGGACAGAGCCTGGGACTGGGAGGCAGGGAGCAACTGGGAGCTCCAGCCTGGTAGCTCTGGGCGGGTCTCAGATACGCGCTGGAGCTCAGAAGCTGCGCTATAAAAGAGGGATGAGCTGAACCACAGCTAACGGACTTCCTGGCTCTTTCACCCCAAGAAAATGGGTTCCTCTCTAGGCAGGTAGGGAGCCTGTATTGGCAGCTTCTGCTCCTGGACCAGCGACTCTCAGCTGCTCAGACAGCAAATATAGGTGCAGGTGCAGGCAGGCACCAGGCCCACTGCACATCCGGCAGCAACCAGACGAACCAGCCCTGGGCCAGGATGGTTCATCGCAGGAATGATCTCACTTACTCGAACAACAGTCTCAGGCAACAGGGAGGGCCTGGGAAGAAGAGGCTGCCTATTGTGTGGAGGGGGACACTGAGGCTCCAGAGGAGGTGTGACTCAGCCATGTCTGGGGCCTGGCATGGCTGGTAGGGCAGGACCCACGCTGGCCGATAGCTCATCTCCCGCATTGCTCCCCGGGGTCTACTCCTACTGATGAGCTGAGTCACAGAAGGGATGACAGGGTGGGGTAGGGCCACAGGCAGTCCTCTGCTGGGGAAGAAGACCCTCTCCACATGGGGGAGCTCCCAGAGAGTTATGGCAGAATGGATAGTGGCTGTGTGCTGGGGCAAGGGTAGATATCCCCAGGAATAGTCCTTCCCTTCCGCCTTAAGGAAAGCTTCATCTCTTCCAGGAGAGCTCAGAGTGGGCTTGTGCAGGTGGAGACAGAGTGACCCAGAGCCGTGGTCCCCTTGAGGGTGATGTGGAGAGCTTTGGAGACTTTGTCCAGGGCACCCCATGAGAGCCCAGGCATGCTGACTGAGCTGAGGGGGATCTGTGGGGGGAGCCACAGGTTCAGATTCGCTCTACCTCCCTGCTGCCAGGATGTTTCATGGCTCCAACAGCAAGGCGGGAGCTGCCAAGTCTGCAACTGCCCATTCTGATATGATGAACAGACCTCTCTTACCCAGGCCCAGTCCCGTGGTAGCCAATTCCTGTAACTCTTCCTCAGTCACACCCATACGCTGGAGGGAGGATTGGGCAGCAAGACAGATGGTGACACCTGTGCCGGGAACTCCATCGTGTTCTGGGCCTGGGATGGGGCTCCCCTGGCCTCATGTAGTGTGCCACCTTGTGCCATCTCAGGCTACGGGACTTCAGCTCTGCCACTGGACACAGAGTTTCAGCTATCATTGCACTTGACTGAGCCATGCGCTTCCCACCCTCAGAAGGGGCACCAAACATCTGGAAGGGGAGAGGACCTGCTAAGGCAGGCCATCCCCAGTGAGCCTGCATCTCTCTGTTTTCCTGAAGGCCCCTGCATCCCACCACGATCTGATCATACAGTGTTCAGATTGTATAGATGGTCCCTTCTCCTCCTGACACTGCACACAGTCTGTCTTACTGAGTCTTAGCGTACATACAGTGCCTGGCACATAGTAGGTGCTACAGAAATACCTGGATCAATGAAGTGATAGCCATCAGTCAGTGCCAGGTGCTTTATTGGTGTCACCACCAGTCCTCCCAGCCTGCATTGTGACTAGTGCTGATATTCTGACTTCCCAGAGAAGGAGGCTGAGGTTCAGAGAACACCTGTGACCTGGCCCCTCGGGGCTCTTCCCTTCCCTCATTTTGTCTGGAAGTCTGTGGCTGGGGGCCTGCAGAATCCCCTTTCTCCCCTCAGCCTCCTGCTCTTCTCTCCTACCTCACCCCCCTCACCCCCAACACCCTGGGCTGCCTCTTGCTGCCCAGCCTGCCTGGTCATTGGAATTCCTTAGGAGCTTGTAAAACATCCCCAATGGCCAGGCTAATGCCATGGGTGGGAGCAGGAACCAGGCTCTGAATTGAGTTGCTGATGATCAGCCAGGTTTGGATTCATGGCAAGTTAAGGCCTGGCATTGGCCAATAATATTTCTCAGCCAACTTGTCTGAGATGACCTCATACCCAAGATGGGGTGGGGTAAAGGAAGACAGAAGGAGGCGGGGGTGGGGGAACACACTGCTGGAGGGGAGCAGCCTGGAGGGGTTTGAGTTCTGGGCCCACCAGGTTCAGCTTAGCAGATCTGCCTATTGGCAATCCAAGGCAGGTGCACACTGCCTATACCAAGGAACTGTCCTACTTCTTCTCTGCCAATGTGGGTTCTTCGAGGCCTGGCTGGAGCTGCTTCTAGCAGGCTGCTTGGAAGGTCAGGGCTAGGTGGGTAGCCTCTCCTCCACTGCTGAGGCCCAGAGCAGGGTCATGCTCACCTTCAGAGCATCCTGTGGCAGGGGATACGGTGGCAGAGAGGACCAAGCCCCTTCAGGTCCTAGGCCTGCTCCAGAAATCCAACCCTTCATTTCCTGCCTGCTCTCCTGGGTCAATGATCCATTCTTCTGGGGTCGGGGCTGAGTGCTGGGCACGTGCTTGGTGGGGCTTGATCTCTGTGCCCACTGAAAGCTTTGTGGGTTGGCTAGTGTCTTAGCTGGAGAAAGTCCCTAGATCTCCAGTCCTGGGACCATGTGATCCCACTCTGATTCCTCCAGAAATGGGGTAGGGATGGGGGGCAGTGATCCAATTGGCAGGGGTTGGAGAAGGAAGGGTTCCCAGAAACTCCACTGAGAGCTTGGGTGTAAACCTTGGTCTGGGAGTTGGAGCCAGGTTTGAGTCTGTGCTCTCTCACTTCCATGCTGTTTAACTGTGGGTAGGTCTCTCACCCTCTCTGGTTGGGTAACCTAGAAGGCCATTTCCAGTTCTCAAGATGTTAAGTCTGTGCTTGTACCAGGTCTGGTGGGGCTCTTGCCCAAGATCCCCTTTGCTCATTTTGGGGGAGAGGGAGGAGAGTATGAAATTCTCCCTTGCAGGCCTGGCTTCTGCCTCTGGGCACTGTAGGCACAGGGACACACTGTGGCCATACAAAGCCTGGTTGTATTGAGAGGGA